AAAAAAACCAACAATCATGACACCCATCAATTGTAAAACATACATCCCATCATTCGATCAAGAAATTTTAGTAATGAGTACTGAAGCAAACATAAATACTAAAGACAATTCTCTTTACGATGAAGAAATACAGTTACGTTCAGAATTTAGGGATGACTACCAGTATTTGTAGCACTGGAAGTTGTTTGCTGCTAGATGTAGTCATGATCTTGATCCTAGTCACTCTAACTGTTCAGATTCAGATCTCAAGAATAACTCAATTTTAAATTTGGATGTTACCCAAAGCAACCGGATAGAGAAACATATAAAACAAAATTTCAAAACACAAACTTTTAAACACAAGAAATCCGAACCAGACAAAAAGAAAACCAAAACTGAAACATGGAAGCTAATTAAGCGAATTGCTCTGTTCCTAACACAACAATTCTCAAATATCGTTAATAGAGGAATGGTAAGGAATCAGACTCACCAGGTGGTCGAATCAAAAAAGACAACAAAGATGACGAATAAAGTTCTCAAAACACATCTTAGAAATATTAACGAGGCTGCTAATCAATAAGCACATAAGACGACTATCAAACCAGGTGAGTTGTGTGGGGATAGCAAAAAGAGATCATTAGGTGCAAAGCCAAGAAACCACGCATACAACAAGATAGAACAAACAATGATGATATACCAGATTGTGGCAATGCTACAACTCCTAAAGCTGGGCCCCACATCTTAATGCTAGACTTGAATTACTTAATTCCACAGATTATAATTATTTATTGTTGATTATTAGCCAACTATCACAGGCTTAAAAATTATTGGAGGTAAATTACAAACATTTCGATTTTCTGACTAAGGCATCTTATATTTTTGAGTCATGAATCAAAATCATGTGGCACTCTTAAGAAAGCTTCTGTTTCAACTACATTAATTCCTCAAATATTGCAGATCGACAAATATACTGATTTGTCCTGGTATCAAATCGATATAGCAAATACAGGAATTAGCATATATTTCAACTTGGAATCAATATTGGAAAATGCAGTCAAACTGCTCAAATCAAATGTTCCCCAAACTATAAGCCATTTGGCGAACAATCTCAAGAAACTTGTCATTCTAAAAGTAAAGATAAGAGTTTATTTGCAATCATTACTGCAGTTTTATCGAATACTAGCATATCTGGAGAAGATAACTTTGATATGAAGTATGTGTTTTCCATTCAACAAAACATGGAAAACACATAAAATAAATTGTTTTTGTTTATAAATTCAACACACTGTAATATATACTGGAAAATATGTATCAACTTACATATCATATAGTGATTGTTTCTTGCTATTGTTACAGATTATAGCCTCTATAAAGACTTGAAGAAGTCTTTACAAGTTCGATATTTTATACCGCAGAAGCAATTTGGCAAAGAAAATCATTTTTTGGAGATCTACGTTTCGGATATCCGACAGTCTTATTAGCTCTTACAATTCGATAGCGGAACATCTAAAACCAGACCCGTGTATTTGCAAGGAAATTCTCTAGTTGTTTTTTTTCTCTTCTTCCTTACAGCTTTGACATTTCCGGTTAAAAGGGATCACCAATTATTCGGCATGGGTGCCCACTGATCAGTGACTTGTCTGCGCTGCAATAAGTACATATTATCACTTCTATCTTGGTTTCTCGTTGCCAAATGTTGGACAGAATAATAGAATAATCAGTTTCTTTTATGCGGTTACTATATGCAATTTATTTTTATAAAGAACTACACATATTAAAAGGAAAACTATTTCATCAACAATGACTTGAGTGAAACTGTGATTTTACACGTAATGTGATTTCATATACAATATATTACAGAAATCATACATTCTGAACTGATAAGTTCCATTTCCTTAGTATTTAGTTTATTTTGGAACTAAAATTTCCAACATACAATCAAGTTTCACTTGGTAGTATTGTGATGGAATTGAACAAATTTAGTTTAATAAATAAATTTTTAATTTTTATTGAATTGCAAAAACTTTCGAACTAATTTTATTTCATAGTCTATTAATTTCACAACTAAAATCAAGACAAAACATTTATCACACTCGCTCAGAGCAAAAACTCTTATTTTCTGTTATTGTACGACAACTCCAATTTACTTTCTATGGCGACGCACAAGTGATGGACATTTCCCATGATGGCAACGCAACAGGTTTATCCGCTGCTCTTCACTGCATCCTAGGCATCGATTAACGACTTCGAAAACGAAACTTGAAACTTGAAACTTGAATTTATTCCGGCCATTAATGGTTCATTAAAGAAAACGATTAGCGACTAACGATTGAAGAAAACAAAACCATTTTAGCACCAATACCGACTACAAACCGGTAAGAGGTAGACAACTAATGTGCGTGTTGGCCGCCAATATATTCGATACACCAATTTCTCAGTTGCCTCGACTTAAATTGGCTAACTATAAATCGAAACCTGTTCTATAATTTCTGAATGAAATGCGGACTAACTTTTATGATTATTTTTATTTTACAACCACATCTAGTAATAGGCCGGTAGGTCTGTTTGGTATGGATTTATTACAAATTAATGTTTACTTAATTGCGTTTAGTTACTTACATTTAAATTTAACTAGAAATAGTTTACTATTAATAATGAATGCCAAATTGCAAGTCACATCAAGGCAGATGTAGTGTGGTCATCTTTATTGTCATCCAGGCAGCAAACAAAGCCCTTGAATCATTCACAACAAAAGCGAAAACAGTAAAAGTATGTAGAGAGGTAATCGATGAGCTAAATTGGTTGACTGACATCACCCTAATCTGGGTATCTGGGCATAGGAACGTCAAAGGGAACGAGTAGACTGACAGATTAGCTCGCTTTTGTGCTTTCCTGAATGTGTCCTTGGAGACGCCGGTATATATAACCCTAGAGGCCATTAACAGAAGTACTTATTTTTCAACTTGATACTAACATATAGAAAACACTTAAGTCATGTGCAACTTCCAGGTTAGCATATGGGCCATGTTACTGATGTTAAAATAAAATTAAGTTCTTGGAACTCATCAGAAGAACACTTTAGCATGAACACTACAATTTTCTCTGGACATTGTAAACAACTTCACCTATCTTGGTGCTCTGATTGATAAAAATAACGATACGAGAATGGCTGTAAATGTCAGAATACAAGCGACAAATAGATGCTTCTAAAAATACATAGACCTTATGAAATCCAGATTACTATCTTAAGAAAGTAAACTTCGAGTATATAAAACGATAATGAGACCGATACCAACTTACGGCTCTGAATGCTGTACAATGACAAGGGTGGGTGAAGAAGCGCTGCAGATTTTTGAAAGAAAGATAGCTCTACTTGACGGTCCTATTCAAATATACGACGAGACATTCAGAAGACGAACAAACAACGAAATTAATAACATGCTTAAAAATGAAAATATAGTAAGATTTGTCAAAGCACAAAGACTGCAATGGGAAGCTCACGTTGTAAGAATAGGATCCGAAAGAAATTCGGCCAATATATTTAATGCTAATTCGATGACAAGACATAAAGGCAGACCAAATGTGAGATGGAAGGAAAACGTGTATGAGGACGCCAGAAAGCTCGCAATTCAGAATTGGAAAAGAACTGCACAAGATCGAAGCAGATGGAGGCAGGTTGTGAATGAGGCCAAGGTTCATACTGGACTGTAATGCCAAATAAGAAGAAGAAGAAAAAACACTTGAAATGTGGACATAACTTTTCACAAAGGAAATTACAGGTATTAATGTTGTTAAAAAATTATTAATTTAATTAATTATTATAAATATCTTATTAAGGAGATAAAGATTAGCTATATGTAGAAATATAGCTGATCGCATTCAAACACTTGCTCGAGAAGTTGTACAACAACAGTTTTGAGCTTTTAAATATCGTTTTGCTGAGTGTTGAGTAAAACAAATTTTACTCCATTTTTCTTGTGTTTCGGTCCACTAACTCGAAAATCACATAAAAATAAGTAGGTATTCAATATTCAGATATGAGCCTTTGAAATTCACATATTGCACTATATCTCGCATATCTCGTATTGCGAGTATTCGATTGTGTTGCACAAGGCATAAATATAATCTAAGGTAATCGAATCTCCAATAACTTCTTCTAACATTCTAACGTCAAATTCTAACAATGCAAAGTTGAATAGATTTTGTGAGGAAATATGTTTGAAACTTAATTTAGTAACTTAGTTATTTTTAAATTTACTTATTTATATATTATATTAAATGAAATTGAAATAATTTATTAGGAAGTAAAGCATTTGGTTGACAAATTTCATATCACGTTTCTGATATAAACAGTTAGATGCATTTTGTACTGGCACTTTACAAAATGCGTAGAGGCGACATGGTTTCCTGATAAGACCCACCTATGTTACCAGTTGATATATGAAAGTATTTCGTTTCTTTGAAAGACGGAAACTGTTAATGTGTCGGATGTTTGCGGATATGAATAAGTTTTAAAATGACATGCAACAACCAGCAACTCTTTTACTTGCACTAACTAAAACTGATCCGAAAAGAAAACATTGCAAGATGACAAAAATTGTGCGCTAAGAAAAATAAATAAATAATTAAATATAAATAAAATTGTAAATTCAAAAAGCGAGAAATGCAAAAATTGTGAAATATGTAAAACTTTTAAAAAAAATGCTTACCAATGTTTATTAATTAATTTTTTTTTGTGTTATTTTAATTATAAACTACCAAAACCAATTCCAAAAACACTATAGCAAATATTAAGCAAGAAATCTCTTCAATATCAAAAATAATAATCTCTGGAGAAGCCACAACCGAAAACTTCAATATGACTACGTAAAGAAAAATTTTAAATATTTTTGTTGCAAAATAAATTGAAAATTGTTGCAGTGTAAATGCATTTTAATATTAACCAGTAAAACCAATTAAAATAAAAAGTATAAAAAGTACCAGAACAATAGTTGTTAAAAGGAATACTGAATTTAGCCTACCATATCGGGGCGTATGAAGATCTGATGTTGTTGCTGTTTCGCATATAAAGCATCCTTAAGTGATGCTGTCTTGTCCGGAAATAATATAGACTTCCCCGAGCCGACATCGGTTTTATGTGCGGTTAATGTGTTCGTTGAGTTCACCTTAGAGGCATGTGATAGGCGTTTCATATGTGTCCAGACTTGATGCCAAGGTACGTCTTTCTATAATGTTTGCATATATGTGTGTATTTAGTTGTTTGTGTTTGGAGCGTTTATCACGAGTAGTTGTGAAAATAGTTTTATAGGGGACAGAGGGTGTTGTGTTTGTGTTGTTGTTTTAAAGTTTGAATTGATGTTGTTTCGGTTTTTCGGTTGTAGAGGCGCGTTTTGAGAAAATTTGTAGAAAATAAAGAAAAAAATATAAAAAACATATATAAGAAAATAATATTTTTTAAATAGCCAATTGTCTTATAGAATATATAAATTATATTTTATTTAATTTTTAAAGAAAGAATATCTTATATTAAATGAAATTTTTTTTATTTATTTTAATCAACTGCTTAATTATTGTATTTAGTTTTCTATTTACTTACATATTTAGTATAAGTTTTAATTTACTTATATATTTAGTATAAGTTTTAATTATTCATTTATTAAAATAAACAATCTATTTTGGGACATATTTTTACTTTCTTAAAAGCAGAGTAATATATACATACTTTATAAGTTTCGTTTTTAAATAGCATATGTAATAAATAGCATATAATATATAGAAATATTTAACTTCAAAGCTTTAGTTTTAATTGAACTTCATAGATTTAATTTAATTTTTTTAACATTTTTTTTGCAGTTTTGAATAGTAAAAATAATTGTACACAAATTTGAATTAAAGTAGCTTGTGTAGTTTCTTAATGCTTGTCGATAAGCATTGTTTCTGACGTTGCATATAACAGTTCTGTTTGCTTCTACATAACCAATAATATTTTGTGCATTTATCAACAACAACAAAATCTTTTTATTTCAGAAAAGGAAATTTTTGTCCCGCTTTACACACCATTTAAAGTAAATTCCACTGCCCGCACGATGATGAATTTTATTCTTTTGGAACACTGAACTTATTGGGAAAAAATATTTAATTTCGGCTTTTGGTAAAACCAACAATCAATATTTAAATTAATTGGTAATAATTTTTGGAGTCGATAAGCAAATGGAATTACTTATCAACGATTTCGGGTCACACATTTTTTAATTGATTATTGTTGCAACGAAAATTGAACTACAAAATTGTTAACAATGTGAAATGAACCTAAAAATTTCTATATTTATTAAAGTCACATTAATTAAAATGTTATCAAAATTAAACAAAATGTGAAGCAATAAAAATTACTAAATAAATAATGTATGTTTTAATTTTTTATTACTACTTTATTTCTTTGATAAATATTTAATTGTCATAATCATTTACTTATTTTAATTGAATACTATAGTATTTCTAAATGTAAAATATAATGTTTTAACCTTTTAGAACAAGCGGAAATATAGACCTATCTGAGCACCACTCTGCAGCAGTTCCAAGAATCACATCACGACTTAAGCAATCGTGTCAGAAAAGCAAGAAACACTGACAATTGAGTTACGCTTTTTGTTTGGAACACCATGTACACATGAAAACCAAGTTTCCAATGTACAACACATCCGTCAAACTATATCTATTGCATGGTATATCTACAGCAGAAAGATAGTCAGCACACGAGAAAGAGCTTAGCAAAGTAATAGCTGTAGATATGAAGCGATTAATGAGAATTGTGCGATGACAGGATTAGAAACTACAGTCTTAGAAATAAAGTTCAAGTTGGCATGCAAGTGAAAGTCGAATGTTGTCAACATAAGTAATTGCATTCTAGAATAAAGCTGTAGAGGAAAAGATCTATTGGGCATCCTACGTCAATACTAGAGAATAAAATGTCAACAACAGCAAAGAATAGAGGAAATAAAAATGAAAAAACTTACGCAGAACCGCCAAGAATACTTATCTTTTATAAGACCCACTCAGCAGTAGTACTTCAAAAACAGTTAAGGAGTTGGGTAAACAAGAAATCATTAAAACGCAAAAAAAGTAAAAACATCGCACTTCCAGAAACATAAAATTTTTATAATTCATAAAACATTTAACAAAGCTCCATTTTAGAGAACAGTTCTACGACATTAACAAATCCATCACCGCACAAGAATAAAATAAACTCTATTTAAGAAAATCTGTTCACAAAGTAAGAAAGAAACTGGGATTGTCTCTCTTCAAACTCATTAAAATATTGAAAGTCTATCCTTTATTCTATTTTTCTAAGAACGATAAAATACTTTTTGAGTCTCATTAACGGAATTCTTTAGAATACAATTTAATTGTAGTAGTAACTTAAAAACCTGATTTGTTGCAAGCTTAAAGATTGTCGGAATTACTTATTTTTTAAATATAGACTCTATAAATACTCCAAGTTTCTGCAGCGGCATGATATTGTCTAAGAACGATTGATTTAATTCGCCCATTTTAACCTAATATTGAATGTTAAAATACTCCTTTCCAGTATAACTATACTCTTACGGAGTACCACATTGTCAGTTTCTTCACTACTTGTTAGCTATTCACCTTCAGTCAAGAATCTCAATTTCAGAATAAGATAAGTTAGTCCAAAAACTGATTTAATTCAATATCTTCGTCAGCGGCTTTTTTCGTCTAAGAAAACATAACTAAGAGCATCGTCGAAGAAAAATCAAAATATGTCGCTTTTTTAAATCGAATTCAAAACTTTAAATGGATCGCAAATATGTCGCGATCCAGAAGTATTAAGATATGCAAGTATCGCGTATATATAAGAATCGAGTTACTTCCAAACTTAATTTATTATAAATGTGAATGAATTCATTATGACAAACAGATTTTTACTTTTATCCATTACTTTATTATTATTTATTTTTAAGTGTAAAATGCAACACTTGTTGCAAATCACAACTTTGCATTGCTCAATGAGTTTTAGCTCACAACCAAAAACATCAACAGAAAAAAAGGTCAAATGACTAAGTGCGAGTTCAGCCCTAAGCGGTGTTGAAATGAACTCCAACTTATGTAGTATGCAAGTACAAGACTGAAGAGAAACTCCAAAGTTCCACTCCAATAATAGCAAAACAGCGCGCAACAAGCAGAGATGTTATATGAAATGCATTACGAGGCTGTGATGAGCCAAACATGATAATGCGAACTAACTTGCAACAGAATTTCGATGGAGCAAAGAGAAAAAAATTTAAAACTAGACATTGCATCGCATGGGCAGATGAAATGATATTCATATTACCACAGTTTCACTAGCAAAACAGAGCCACTCGCAGTGTCCACCCCACTCCACCCATCCATGTAGTCATTTGCCAACAGATTAGCTGCAAATATGTAAACTAACAAAAAATTGGAGCTGCAAAGAAATAATTTTATTGTTAGAAAAAAACTAATGGAAAATGCAACAAATTTGTTCACACAGAAGTTGCAGCAACATTTCTTTTTATTGTTTACTAAGTGAATTGCTGCAATTGTTTTTAGTGCCTTTGTCCCGTCTTGTCTCGTCTCTCGTCTCTTCCCGTCCCTACCTACTTCTTTCTTCTCTTATTATGTCGTCAGACTCACAATTTAAATGAATATTGTTGCCTGCCGCCTCTAAACAATAAAAATGCAAACAAACGGTCTTAAACGGAAAATACTTGCAATTCTTTTCGAAATGAAAAACTACAAAAAAAGTTATAAGAAAATTGTATAGAACTGCACACCAGAGGGCGTTACGCTTCAAGCAATCTTATGTAAAAGACATTATGAGAGTATGAGTATGCGATTTACTGCTAAGCACAGTGGAGTGGAGCTCATAAGTAGCGAAGCCATTAAACTTCGCAGTTTCTAAGGAATTCCGCAGATGAAATGATGGACAATAATGAAGAGCTGAGAATGTTTAAATTGCAAGGAAATAAAATATTCGAAACTATCGAATTCTTATTCTTTATTGCGTACTTTAAGTAAAAATACTTTTTATTACTGAGTTATTATTAATGTTTGAACTATATAAATTCTTCACACTATAATTAAAGATTATTTTTCTCTAATGACAAGGAATCTATTTCGAATAGAAGAAGGTTAATAGTCGTAAAATTTTTTATTTAAAGAATTATTTTTTAATTTTCTCCTGTTTTGGGTATCCCCACATATCCATCACCAGTGAACAATGGAAACATCTATTAGTTTTATTGTCCATATGTAATTTTTATACTCAGGTATCAGAATTGAATGTTTCATTGAAATATTCAACTACAAAAGTTAAGTTTGAGACTTAAGTTAAGATCCGACAATTAAGAAATTTGTAGGAAAATAAGTGAAAATATGCATAGTCATGACACTCATAGTTTACTAAGACATTGGACATTATAACAAACTAAAAAATTAAGAATTATATGCCCTGATACTGTGGAAAATATTAATCTCTAATGAAATACTCCAATAAATTTTGTCTTTTTCTCAACGTATCATACTTTTCGTATCCTAATACTTTTTATTGTAGGTTACTGTAGGTCTCAGATATTCACGAAAGACCTTCAGATTTCTTTGTAGAAGAATCAGATGATTTATTTGACTGCTAAATTATGACGGAGTCTATGTGAAAATCAACTTTTATTTAGACATCTTGCCTTCTCATTCTCTATCAGATAAAAAAAATAACGGATAAGTTTAAAGATATTGTGATTTTTCCTCCAAACTTAGCCACTGTGCGGAATTCCCACTTTAATTTATAAGAAATAAACTTTCATGTCTTCATGGAATTTCATATTTTTTTAAAATTTTTTCTTCTCGCGCTGAAATATGAAAAAAATGTTGCAATTATTAAATAGAATTGCCACAATTTCCATACGACAACATATTGCATCATCAGCAACAACGCTTGCGTGATCAACAGCAACAACAACAACATCATCATAATCATCATCCGATAAAAGACGGAGCTGGTGCATATGACCTCCTTTACTCATATGCTACCCTTTTGCTTCCGGTGCAAGGGTTACCGTGCATTGTACAGTTGTGGAGTTGCTGCTTTCGCTTTTGCTTTTGTTGTTGACGTCGATGTTGGTGCCGGTGTCAGTGTCGGTGTCGGCGTCGGTGTTGGTGGTTGGATGGTTTGTTTTGTACTTGAATTTTT